CCCCACCCACTATATTCTCCAGATATGGCACCATCAGATTACCATCTTTTTCGTTCGTTGCAACACCATCTTTATGGGAAAATGTATGCAAATGTAGAAGGTGTTAAAGAAGACATTGACATTTCTTTTTTTGCTTCAAAGCTAAGTTATTTCTATAATCAGAGCATTAACAACCTGATTGTAAGATGGAAAAGCTTCATCGATAAGAATAAGATAAGACTATTTCATTTGATAAATGTTTTGTTTTGATAAATAACTTATGTTTTTTTCATCTAAAAAAAAGCGACATTAATTTCTTGACAACCTAATACATAGAGGGTTAGCATAAGAATATGTTTAATCCATAAAGCCAAAGGTATATAGTGAAACATGCATTATATGCGTGTGTATATGTATATATATTTATAAAGTGAAACAGTAAGTTTGTATGTTAAATTATTCTAGTTTATTTAGAGAGTTAAATATATGTCCTTTTCAGGATGAATAGATGATATATAATAATTATAGAAATAAGTTAACGGTAAGTGTTTTGCATATAAAACATCGGGCTTCGTGGCCCTTGCAATATGTCCCTAGCAATGCACCCTCCTACAACATCCGTTATCAAGAGTCATGAGTGCATGACAACTTCCGCCTATCATACCGGCCTATCATCACGCTCTCTGGTTTCACTTCTTGGTACTATGACGTTACGACCCCTCCTCCTCTCCTCTATTGTCGCCCTATGTTGGCGTGCAATGCATTAGACCAGATAACTACTTATATGTAATTCTGTTAAATAAGCAATCGTATATGTTTCAATAAATTTAAAAACCTCGTTTCTTTAACTTCCTATTTTTTGTTCCAAAGAAATATATATATATATATCCATAATTAATGGGGAGAAACATTGTTATATAAATAAGTAAGTTCGATTGAAAATGAAACAGATAGTTCTTTTTAAGGTATATTTCTGTCATTAGTAATTATGGTTCCCGAAAGAAATATCAAATCATGTATTATATTTGAATTTAAATATACTATGCTAAAAAAAAACTAATTTTATTATAATATAGTCTACATTAAGAATTTAAGGTCAATAAGGCACTTTAAATTTTGAAGGCCTCCCTTGATATGTTCTATGGTTTTGGGGTCACTGTTGGACCTGCTATTGGAGGTGCCCTCTATGAGGTAAATTTTTCATTAGTTTTTTTTATTATGCATATAAAATATTTATGTAAAAAGCAAGTCAAGTTAGCTTATCTCTTAAAAGGGGACTTTATTATATATTACATTTTTAATATTGTTGCTTGTAAGATAAATTTAGAGCCTTAGCCTTTTCTTCTGTTTCAAGATGTGGTTGTGAGTTAAATATAGATTTTTTTTCTCATTATCGACATACATAAATCCAAATTTGTCTTCAATCGATTATCCAAATCAACATGGATAGCATATTGCTTGCCTTCACTTAGTTCATCTCTACTCAATAAGCTTTTAGGCTATCCAAAATACATTTTTTTTTCTACCGATACTAGCATCTAAGCAGTTTGAGATAATAATGACCAATTATTCTTAATAGTTAATTTTATCTGTTCCAATTAATAAAGATATTAAAAATATAAACGATAAAACGTCAAAATATTTTAAAACAGCCTACTTAAAGAAATGATTGGAATATTATTATTCCGAAAATCAAAAATATAATAAAATTATACCTTAGTTTTTTCATGCCATACATACAGAAATAATTAAGATCATATTAAATTTCTTAAAACCAAAGATAACATTATATTTTTGTTAAAAATTATTTAAAAAATATTGCACCTCCATAAACAAATAAACTATTTAATTAAGCTAGACAAAATATTCACATTATTGGTTATCTTGGTTTTCAGGTTGGAGGTTACATGCTACCGTTTTTCTTCATTGGAGGGATTATGTTGTGTTTATTTGCAATTATGGTCTACTTCTTACCGGATACAAGTGAGTTAGCTACACAAATGTTAAGCAACTCATCTTATGTTATTATTTTATGTTTCGAGATCCTAATATATTTTTGTTTGGCTGAGTTAAGTTAAAAATTTGTGTTTTGCAAAATAAACCTATTTTAATAATCTACGCTTAGATCCAATTTTAAGAAAATTGAAATAAGAAATCGTCAGTTTTTAATACATTATTTATCTGCATTACATACAGTTGAACTAGACGTTTTCCTATTTTCCCCCTCTTATTGCTAAACAGAATACGCCGTTCAAGAGAACAAAGATGGACTTTTGAAGATTATTCTCAACCCTTCTTTTATTGTGGCTATGATAAATGTTTTAACAGGCTTCCTTATCGTGGGCTTTAATGAGGCTACCCTGGAACCCCACATTAGACAGGTAGATTACGTTCAGTTATTTGTTTCAGTTTCATAAGTTACCTGGTATCAGAGTGGAGAAATCACACTGGAAATATGGAAAAAACAATCCGTATTAAAAAAAATCAGTTATGACTTACATTACTATCAATTCGATTTAGATTTGTTTTTCTATCGAAATGCTAAATTTGCCTTATTCGTAGCAAGTGGGCGAATTATTTAAACTAATCGTTTACTAAATTGAAAAGAATTGTGTAAGCTTTGTTTAAATTACTTGTATAATTTTTAGTGCAAAGCTATATAATGGACTATTCGCGTTCTGTTTACCACGCGGATCCGAAAGCAGTATTTTGCATTGTAAATCCATAATGTTACGATCCATAATGTTACGACTGGCCCTCCGATAGACTGCTTTAATTATAGCTAATTAAATATCAATAAAAAATACACGTCTGTTTACTTCTGATACCCTCCAACCTCACATTACGTTTTTATTAACAATACTGTTTTTATAGATTTGGTCCTCAGCCAGTTTTGAATATTATTTTAGTTATATATATATATATATATATATATATATTTGGAAGAAAATTTAATCAAAGCCATAAGAAATTTTGAATGTTTTGAAATATATTAAGTTTTTATATATATATCATAACACTTTTTACTGGTTCTTCGAAATCTAAACACCAATATCGAACAATATAACATCAAAGGAAAAATAAAAAATAATATTTTTTATAAATAAATCGATATGAAGAAAAATCGATATTGAAATTAATTCAAGTTCAGTTTCTCAAGAAATCAAATAGTATATAAATGAATGCAAATTATATCCTTATCTGAGATACTGTGTGTTTATTTCGTGTAGTTTAATCTAACTTCGTCTGTTGTGGGACTGATATTTATTGTTTCTGGAGGAATATTTGCTGTTGGTACCCTTGTCTGGGGACACGTTTATGACAAAAATGTGAGTGTATCAAATTCATTAAAATGATTGCTGTTGTATGCACAAACTGTTTTTTCTTAAATTCGCGAATTAGCATATCTAATTTGAAAACTAGCTAGTATATCTGAATAAAAACCCAAGAACATTTTAATTTCTATAATTGTTGATGTTAAATTTCGAACTTACACCGTAATAAAACTTATGTACATAATTTACTTAAATCTCCCCTAACTTAAAACACACCTTCATTGAACTTATGTTGTTTTTTCAGCCTGATTCTTACTTTCCCTTATATATATCCAGCATTGTCTGCATAGCAAGTTTTTTATTTCTTGGACCTGCACCTTTTCTTCCTCTGAAAATGTAAGTTTATTCTCATAATATGCATTATCATTGCCATGTGTCTCCAACCCTCATGTTGTGTTTTATTTACCAAACATAAATCTCTTCGTTTTTCTATGTAGGCCAGAAAATATATTTAGAGACTGAGGTATACCCATAATTGTAATTTCCACTAGTTTGATTTTTCTGTTCAATTACTGGCTCAAACCTGCTCTTCATGCTCGAAATTTCTCAATTTTTTTGTGGCTGTTCACTTTAAATTATTATTTCGCCAAACTAATGATATCTTCTGGGATTAATTGTACCGCATTAGAAAGATGCTTCAAGTTTCTTGCTATCCATGGAAATACTTCTTACATCATTAATCATTCTAACCGAAAATTTAATATCTTATTTTTAAAGCTGACAATAACATTTTATACCTTGTTTTAGTTTTTAAGGTGGAAGGTCCATTTTAAAAATATTTCGTGTTTCAAAAAGAAAACTTAACATATCATTTTAAAATGTCTTCAAAAAGTACAAAAACATAACAACAGAAAATAATTTATTAAATCTGGAGTAGTAAATTTCACTATAAAAATGTAATTTCATTGAAAACAGAAAAACCAAATGTCATCAATACAAAATATAGCCATGGTCCTCAATTATGAACCTTAATAAATGCATCTATTGTAATTATAATGTTATTTAAACACAAACGACATACTGTTTAAGCAGCAACAAAAACTACTTAGTCACTCATAATACCCTGTACTTAGTTAAGTCATATTAAGTCTAAAAACACAAATACATTTAGATATAAATTCCTTCCGAAATTTATATATTATCTCCAAAGTGAGATGAAACGAATGAAAAGTTGGCTATTAATGGAAATTGTCACAAAACATACAGCCTTATTAATATTCATACAGGAACTTTTTGCAGGTCATCAGTTTTGTGTATATCATTAACACCAGTGGCTGAGAATAGCCCCAAACATATACTAACGATCCACTAAAGCTTTACTAATGCAGTTGAGGCTCAAACCACCAGTACCAACAACAACTAGCCATGACATTTCCACAGTGCTTTTCTGTTATGGCCTTTCTCCTCACGGTTTCCATAATTATTTCGTATGCTCTATGTACGCAACAATTGCTTCATCAATGATCAGCTATTCCACTATTCCAAAGCCTTTCATAAGTTGAAGATGCTCTACAAACATAAGTGTTTTTCCAAAAAGGCTTATATGTCAAATCAAGGTATAGCATAATTCTTATAAAATTTATTAAAACTGAAAAAAGTTCATTAAAATGTGAATGTCAAATTAATAAAATATTTGAAATTATATTGAAAAACTTCTTATCATTTTTATTAATTCTTTATCGAACAAACAGTTTATTCGTACTGGTGATTTTTCCTACAATTTAAACCCTCGTCTAGACCCTCTTACATATTTTAGATTTAGTGAAAAAAAGCGTTTTCTTTAACAATGTTTTCTCAATCCAAGTACTTTTCGATCGTTTTGATGACACGATCTTTATACACAGTTTGCCACAAAATATGGTATACATTGATAAGAACGTTTTAAATGACATTGAAAAAGTTTTTATTGTAATTTTCAAAGCATCATGGATAGGCCAAATATGACAAGGGTAAACAATTTTGACCTTAAGATCACATGAGTTACACGCGCTATTAGCCTTATTGTACGGATGGCTGCAGATAAACTGACTTTTCTAGCTTTCTGCCTGTCTTTTCAACAACATAGGCTAGAAGGTTGTTTTGTTAATAATCTGAAAGTACACATACATTATTCATTAATACTGAGTAATGTTTACTAGGTAGGTGAGAATTTATGCCTAACTGCACACAATTTCAAGACATGCTGTATCGCCAAAATAAGACCGCCATCTAGCCGTAGGCTAAGGTATTAGCTAAAGTACGGTGCCTCTGTAGTATTTTTGCCCCTCAGTGGCACAGCGGTATGTCTGCGGACTTACAACGCTAGAAACCGGGTTTCGATACCCGTGGTGGGCAGAGCACAGATAGCCCTTGTGTAGCTTTGTGCATAATTAAAAACAAACAAACAAACAAAAACAAACTGTAGTATTAATCATTATTTTAACATATTATCATATTAATGTCAAGAATTTCAATGAAACATACAATTGTAACCAAGATTACACATCGAGTATATCAGCATTTTAGCTTTTCACAATCGACTTAATATACTATTTTATTCCGTTTTAATGGCTGAATGGTTTTCCTCTTCGTGATTAGCTTAAAGATAGCCTACACCTTTACACAGAACGTTTTTTATTATGTTTATTCGACATCGGTAATGACAGAGAGAATAAATATTATATAAAAAGAGCCAGGATGCCTACCAGTAGCCTAAATCTCTATCCGTTCGACTACTTTTATCCACTTTATTCTTCTGGCTTCGAGTACAATTTCTTTTAAGAACTTGTATGGGAAGATTGCAGAATCTTTTGTGTGTAAGTTGTTGCGTCCAACTACAACGCAATTCAACGTTCTTCTTTTCTTCTTCTTCTTCACCACTGCATAACTTTACATAATATTATTATCTGTCATTTTTCTCGGTATGCTACTCTCAATAACTTACACGTTCGCCACTATTCTACAAGATTAGCAACAGTCTCATAGCATAGCCTAACTTTGTAACATTAGGCCAAATTTACAAAGACGATTCTTTATTGCGACAGTTCTTATAGAACTATGTTTCAAGGTTTGTTTAGAATTAAGCACAAAGCTACACAATGAGCTATCTGTGCTCTGCCCACCACGGGTATCGAAACTCGGTTTTAGCTTTGTAAATTTATTTGTTTGTTTTTTGAATTTCGCGCAAAGCTACTCGAGGGCTATCTGTCTCTAAGGCAACAGCACCCTCCGCCAATGCTTGAACTACCCTTTGTCAACGAATAGTAAACTTGACTATCACATTATAACGCCCCATGCCCGAAAGGGTGAGCATCCTCAGTGATGGTATTCGAGATTTCTAACTACAGGCTATGCGAACTCAATTTATATCTCAATGAGTAATACAAACGCAAATGTAATGTAAATGTTCTGTTTTTCAAAATACTAACTATGGTACCAAACTTGCTTACCTCTACTTTAATTAATTGTCCAGAGTTATACACCTAACCATTAAATTGCGTATATGATAACAACTTGGTTGCGATCCTAAGCTACTTTTCTAACGTTGCACTTAAAGTACAATACGTTAGTCTTATGGTTAATTTAAAGATTTTCAACACTAGAGTGTATAGTTCTATGTTGCTTTTATAAGTTAGCATTAGTAAAATAAAATTAGTTATCATTTGAACTATTCTGTTTTTCATTAAAATATTCTTCGAAAAGTAATCATTTGCAATCTATGTGTTTTGTTATCATTTCAAAAACAAAACTTCTAACACTAATATTATTCACCAACATTTATCATGTTTTTCTTGTTCTCGGTTTCCAATAACATTAACTACTAACACTAATGAAATTCCTTTATTAATATGGAATTACTATATGAGTAAAAGACACTTCAATAATATAGCCCAGTAGAATGGTATTGAACACTAAACATATTTAGGTTGTTCGGTTTTGGACCAATGACGAAATTAGTTGAAGCCTTGTTGGTGTTGAATATAATGATAGGGAATAAAATATGGCGAACAATGTGAATTTCCATTAATAAACTCCGGAAATTATAATTTATTCATTCGTTATGTACTGGCTTAATAAAGAAACGACACAAAAAATGTGAGTTTCTAAAATTATAGTAGTATTCTGGAAAGAAATTGGTATTTCTGAAATGGCGTCTCAGGAATCTGATCTTGAAACAGTTGAACCAACACCAGAAAAGAAAGTAGCTTCATAATTCGGACAAGATACGTTCAATTTTAGAAAATACATGTTACTTAAAAATAAATAACCAGATTAAAATAACTTGTAAAATTATTAATAGTTTTTATAATATATAATGTGTTTGTTTGTAATTAAGCACAAAACTACACAAAGGGCTATCTGTACTCTGCGTTTCTAGCGTTGTAAGTCCGCAGACATGCCGCTGTGCCACGAGGGGGGCTATATAATGTGATTTTAAATTACATTTACCTTACAAAATAAGTTAAGAAAACTACTAGGATTATAAGCAAAAACAAGGTTTTGATATAACATGATATACACTTATCTAATTTTTACCTACATTAATTATTTACAAGTAAATAACTTTTGTGCCTACTTGAAATATTTAACTACTACTAATCATTAATTTTTTATCAAAAGTTCAAAGTTACACCCTGTTTCATCAACGAATCATACATGACCCATAATGAATCTTTTTTCAGCTGAGACTATATATTTATTCGTTATAAATGAAATGTCTGAAAAATGGTCTAGTATAAAATATTATTATCTCTGTGGTGCCATTGTTTACTGGCATTATTTAAGATGTTCATTCTAACAATTGATTGATTAATACTTACAGGACAATCTACTTGGTAATTCTTGCTCAAGTTCTTCTTGGAATTGGAGCGGGAGGAAAAGTAATCATAGGATTCAACCATGCTTTACGAATAACTCTGTAAGATTTATATATGTTCAGCATGTGAAACATATTAGGTCGTCAAGAAATCAATGCCGCGTTTTGGAACACTTTCATTAACCACCCCCAAACAAACGTACATCTCGTATAATAATTATACGAACCGCCTAAACGTCACGTTAGTGTAGCCTATATAATGTGTAAAGTTTAGTATACTCC